TCTCTCTCTCTCTCTCTCTCTCTCTCCCTGGAATAAATAGAGAGCCGTGTGTATATGTGGCCATCGTGTGTAGGCCATCGTGTGTATGTGTGGCCATGGTGTGTATGTGTTCCCATGGTGTGTATGTGTGGCCATCGACGTTCAATTCCCCCACTTTAGCTTTCTTGTAGCTTTGTTACTTTTTTCACTAATGTTCCATTTTCCTGTTTGATGTAACTTTTTATGATCTGTTCTTTAGGATTTTGTATTGCTCTCTGTGAGTGAGTATGTGTGGGTGAGGTTTGTGAACTGTTGTGTGAGTGAGTGTGTGTGGGTGAGGTTTGTGATCTATTGTGTGTGTGGGTGAGGTTTGTGATCTATTGTGTGTGTGAGTGAGGTTTATGAACTATGGTGTGAGTGAGTGTGTGTGGGTGAGGTTTGTGATCTATGGTGTGAGTGAATGTGTGTGGGTGAGGTTTGTGATCTATTGTGTGTGTGGGTGTGTGTGGGTGAGGTTTGTTATCTATTGTGTGTGTGGGTGAGGTTTGTGATCTATGGTGTGAGTGAATGTGTGTGGGTGAGGTTTGTGATCTATTGTGTGAGTGAAGGCCGCCCCCAATTCCCTTGTCCTGTTCTGATCCCTTGCACAAGAGAGAGGTGCTAGGGGTAGATATTGGATATCCCATCTCTCTCTCTCTCTCTCATTATTTATATATATGTTCACACACACACATATATATATGTGTGTGTTTATATATGTATATATATATATATATATATGTGTGTGTTTATATATATATATATATATATATATATATATGTGTGTGTGTGTCACGGTGTGTCAGAATGGGGCGTACATGAGTGTTTGAGCACATGGGGCGATTGGTTTGATCTGAACTCACTTGAACCTCACCCGTGTATCTAGGGCATGCACCAGCGGCCAGGTCGACGTATCCCGTGTATTTACGGGACGCGCTTTATCGATGGATATCCTGTGTTTTTGCTTACAAGCTACGGGACACGGGGAGCCAACAGTTGACCCATTTGTTTTGTTTCATCAAAAATTTGGTGAAGTTCTGTGCGATATTTCGGACTAAGTCAGTCAGCTCTGCATTGCGATAAATGATTTTATTTTGAATTGGGCCGAAAAAAATGGTGTAGCCTCAGGCCATCGTCATTTCCAAATATTGATAAAATAAAGACTAGTTGGACAAATTGGACAGTTTTTTTTTCTGAGAGAGCTTTTCTTTTTTTTTCTTTTGTTGCATTAAAAAGAATTTATAATAATTATAGTAGCCGTCCGTGTTTTTGTGGGAAAGGATTCAATAGAGCCCAGAAGTGTGAGACTGCGATGTGTTGGGGGCAGAGCTCAGGCTCAAGTCAGTCACAGGTACCGCCTGTTCTTTGGCCGTTGTGGGAGAGAAAAATAGCAGTCTGTCAAGAGTAGAAGTTTTCATATTTTACACTGCAGGAAGTGGAGCTGGCCTGGTATCTGAGGGAAACTTAGCGGGAAATGGACGCCAATGTTTGGCAACTCCCTCCGTTGGAGTGTCCTTGGAATCTGAAAATGTCCATTTTTTCTCTTTTTGTTACTCAACATTTGTCAGTCAAATCCACACAGAAATGTTTTTACATGGACCTAGACAACATTCTAAATGTTCAGCCAAAAAACAAAAATTGAATTAAAAAATATCGAACGTGAAGATTAAGGCGGATTTCTTCGAATTCATTATTTTGACGAACGCCTGATTTTGACAGGGTGCCTATATATATATATAAATATATATATATATAGAGAGAGAGAGATATATATATATAGATAGATAAATGGATAGATAGAAAGCAGTAGTTGTGTCCACCTAGGGTAGAGAATTGAGCTGAGGGGAGTGAGGGAAGGGTGCTCATTTCTCTGTTGTGTTGGTGTGTGGTTGTTGGTGTGTGGTTGTTGATTGTTGGTGTGTGGTTGTTGGTGTGTGGTTGTTGATTGTTGGTGTGTGGTTGTTGATTGTTGGTGTGTGGTGGAGGGTGACTATGCGGGGGGGAGGCTGGGCATCTGTCGCATCGGAGAGAATGGAAGTATGTCTGTCTGTCTGTCTGTCTGTGTGTGTGTGTGAGAGAGAGAGATAGTGTGCCTGTGTGGGTGTGTCTTTCAATGTGTCTGCATGTGTGTGTGTGTGTGATGTCTGCGTGTGTTTCCCTTCTGTTCCTCGCCTCATCCCGTGACAAATATCTCTTCCTGATGACCCCCCACCCAGCCACACAGCCACAGACACACACACGCACACACGACAGACATCCAGCTTTGTTGTACTAATGAACATGTATGGAGATGTTGATGGATATGTCTGGGAAAGTACTCAGAGACGGTCACGGTTTTTTTGTGCTTTTGATTCCTCTTGTAGCAGACAGTTGATGTGAGCACTGGACTCGCTGCTTTGGTGTAGAGTTGTAGCTGTGAAGGAAGCAATAATCTGCCATGTAATCTTCGTTGACGTGTACACACTACACTTGCTATGTCCTAGTTCTCCTGGTTTTTTCATAGCTTGAGTCGATTTTTCCGTTTGGCAGCACGACATATCAGTTTGTGGGGGAGGCTGCATGTATAGTAGGTCGCTGTGAACTAATGGCAAGTGTGTAGATATTTTATGATGTGTGACAAGCTTGTGTGTGCGTGTAGATTGTCCATAATCCTGTCTGTGTAGTTACTGTCTGTGTGTGTGTACATTGTCCATAATCCTCTGTGTGTGTGTAGATTGTCCATAATCCTGTCTGTGTAATTACTGTCTGTGTGTATGTGTACATTGTCCATAATCCTGTGTGTGTCTGTATGTGTTTGTGTGTGTATGTATGTGTTCGTGTGTGTGTGTGTGTGTGCCTACCCTAGTGTTGCATGTTGCCGTCTTGTGTTGATATCTGTGAGTCGCTCTCTACCCCCGAGGCAGGGTGTCTGTGAGTCGCTCTCTACCCCCGAGGCAGGGTGTCTGTGAGTCGCTCTCTACCCCCGAGGCAGGGTGTCTGTGAGTCGCTCTCCACCCCCGAGGCCCAGTCAAGGGGTGTGGGGAGGGTGTCTGTGAGTCGCTCTCTACCCCCGAGGCCCAGTCAAGGGGTGTGGGGAGGGTGTCTGTGAGTCGCTCTCTACCCCTGAGGCCCAATCAAGGGGTGTGGGGAGGGTGTCTGCTAGAAGCCTGGTGAAGAAATCTGCTGTTTCATTTTGGTGTGACTGGCGGGTGTCTTTTGTTTTATTGTTTTTTGTTGTTTTTTGCTGCAGTCCCACACGGTTGTGTCATGGCTTGTTGTAGACTCCACCACTGGTCC